AATGTTATAAATAATCTGCCCTATTTTATATTAAATTTTCTTAAAAATTAGTGATTTTATTTATTGTCAGAATAGTGTTCCTCAAATGTCTGATTTAGAATCAGTGTCTGAATTAGGTTCACTGACATGTCTGATTTTGGAGCAAACTGCACTCCTGATGTCGGAATTAGGTGATTTTTGTATGGTTATAATAAATATAAAAATATAATTAACTTGTCGAAGTTTTATGATTAATAATTTGTCAGGATTTCTTATAAATAGTTATTAATTCGAGAAAATAAAAACTGATAAAGGTTACTCAATAAGTATTAATTCTTATAAATAAAATGAAACGTGAAAGCCTAAACATGTCTGAATTTGTGCTACTGACTTTATGTCCTAAAACATCTATAACTGTTTGCATACGATTTGGAATAAAAAGGAATAAATTTTGAATGAAAACTTAAGGAATGTCTTCATTTTTTTCATAAAGCACGTTTTCAAATTCTGCAAGACTTTCTGACTAACCTATTTAACTTCTAACCCTACGATAAAGTTCATCCCAAAGATGTTCGATGATATTTATATCAGGGCTGCAGACTGGCCGTTCTAAAGTACTAATTTCTACTTTCCTCAATTATTTTTTCACCATTCTTGCAGTATGCGACCGTGCACGATCATGGATAAAGACAAAATTATCCCCAATAAATGGAACAAATGGAACTACTGCCTCTGCCAAAACATACTGTATATACCAGTAAGCATTCAATAAGCCATTGATAAAAATAAGTTCATTTTGAGCTTTAAATGAGATTCCAGCCGAAACCATGACATTACCACTGCCAAACTTTCTTCTCTGGGATATACAAGCTTGGGCTTGTCTTTCATTTCTCCATCTCTAAACCCCTTTCTTGGCCATCGATTGACTTGACTTTAAACAGAACCTCGATTCATCAGTAATGAGAATTAGGCTCGTATCCTGTATATCCCAGTGTTGATGTTACAGTATATGGCTTGTAATTCGGGAACAATAGCTGGTCATTGATCCTCTTTCATTGAGGTGTCTTCTAATCGTGTCATCATATTTACGTGTCATATTTTAGAACTGTTTTTAATATTATGATATTTTTTCAGGATTGATCACCTTATCTAAAGAAAAGTATGCCGATGGGCAAGGATTAACACAATTGTGTTGTGTAACAGCTCAACAATTTCTTTCCACCCTTTCTCACAATTCAGATTTATATAACAGGCACATTAGCAGAATGTTATTTTATTTTATTGAATCCAAAGAATATTAAAAAATTAGTATCAAGCAATTGTTTTTTTTTTATTAAACAGGGGAAAAGCGGCCAAGTTACTACCCTTTAAGATACAGTGGAATTATATTAACACAGTTAAACTATTCGCAGAATGTAAAAAAACAATCTTCTTTTATAGTTTTTTTGTTAGCGTTAAGTCTAAGACTTGAGCCAGCAACAAAGGTACGATGGACTAAAAGTTAAAAGATCCAATATCTCAAAATTATTAATCTATAACTTGGACGGTTAGTTCTGTTCCCTTCAATTTGATATTACATAAAAGCTTCATCTATAAACTGTTTTCTGAGATAAGTTTTTTACAGCAGAATTATTTGCCATATTTAAATATTTTTCTTGAAGTCATCTTCCCAAATCTGTTAAAACTTTAGATTTCCTTAGCTGCCTGACATTAAATTGTAAGATTTGTTTTTATTATTTAATACAAGAGCAGATCAAGTTAATTTTATACCATATATACAAAACCAATTAGCACACAACTCTTTTTCCATCAAATGTCGGAATAGATAATAATTAAAAGCAGTTTAGAGCAGCAAGTTCTAAAATAAAAAATACCCATTACGATTGCCAACCTCCGTAGGGAGACGGCACTCTAAGAAGAAGAAAAGGCAGATAGTCTAGCTAGGTCCGCTATAACTGGTACAGCTGCATTAGTGGAATATAAAACGTTAATCTTAACATAACCTTACTTAAAAACAAAATTGCACGACGTTTTAAAAAACAAGGAGAATTCAAATACACTAAATAACTCAAAATTAGAATCACCCCGTAGTCTGAATTTATTTTAAAAAATTAACATTATTTTTTATCCATTTTTGGTTGTGTTTATGTAAACAGTTTATTAACGGATTGCTATTAGAAAACAATATTTTTGTCGTTTAAATAACTTCAGTAGCGAGTTTTCCTTCATCTGGCATAGCTTGCAATTAACGAGACATGCTGTGGATCAGATTTTGGATCACATTATGTAGAACACTGTTTCATTCTTGCACCAATATGTCACGAAGCTCACTTAGCATTTTGGGGGACGACCCATGACTCTGTAAACGTCTCTTCATCTCATCCTAAACATATTCTATAGGATTGACATCTGGACTGTGAGCAGGTTAAAGAAAACGTGTGATTTGAAGCTTGTCAAGATATTGCGTTGACTATTCAAGCAGTGTGGGGCCGTGCATTATGATGCATAAATGTTCTGTAGTCTTTAAGAATAACCTTAAACTGCAAAACATGGTCTTCTAGAACCTGTGTCAGATACATATGCGCAGTTATTGTCCCATTTTCTATAATAAGAGATAAAGACGAACTCAGTGCGAACATCAAGCGATATAATAGGGTGAAGGTCATAACTGACCTTGTATCAAATGAAAGTCGCTCGGCAACATATGCTTGAGCATATCTATCACCATCGCCATTCTCTTCAAGCATACCATTCAATCTGGCAATTCGATGGTTACGGAAAAGCGTGAACCTAGAAACCTGCCTAAGTGTCCATTCTCCTACGTTTACATTTGATACTTCTTGCAGATGATTTTGAAGAGAAATTGCCGTGACCGTTCGTTTCCACAAAGCACTAGAAACGACAAAGCGGTCAGCTGTAGCTGTTGAATTCTACCTCGACCTGAACCAGGTCTTCAATTAAGCAGACCGGTAACTTCGTACTGTTACCATATTCGTTGCACAATCGAAAGACTTACACCACTCACAGTTTCGCGTTGGCTGTGGCTATCTTCTAACGTTGCCAAAAATTCTTGCCGTCGCAAGATAACATATGCTCACTGCAATACACTAACAGTGACATTAAACAAACAATTTACAATTAACTTTAAAATAATAGAAACAAAAATTATGCTGCTAGTGATTTTTAGGAATTAGGGTAAAGGGCCCTTTTTATTTCAAATGCTTATCGAAACTGCAAAAACTACAATTTTTTTCAAGCAATAGATTAGTAAACTATGGTACAACCAAAAATAGTTAAAAAATAATGATAATTTTTAAAATAAATTTAAATTACAGAGTGAGCATAATTTTATACTCAGCAGTGTATTTGGATAAAGTGGTAGAATTTTTAAAATCGATAAAATTTTTTCATAAAATTTAATTAAGGCACTGATTAAACTTCATGTTTATTTTATTAGTTTTTGTATCTTGTTATGCTCATAACTTTAGTTGTTAAAGCACGATAAATAAAAAACTTGACAGTAGCAGTATCAATAGAATAGAAAGGCGGTACTAAACGTGTCTTTCCACACCCACGTGTCGTTCTGTACTCGAATTTAATAAGTTATTTAGGGAAGGCGGAACTTATTTCTTGCTAACTGACTATTAAGTACCTACTTCATATTTTAGGATTTGTCACAATTTATAAGTAATACCAACAGTATGATTCACCAAGTATTTATTGGATATAATCGTTTGAAAGGTTTGTCATGTAAGCCAATAAACGAAGCACTAACCCTACCAATTTTCGGCAGTAAGAAGAATCGCTATGCAACTTTTTGCATTCGATTTAGGAAAGTGTAAAGAAACTTTGCCAATAAAATTCATGATAATAAAATAAAAAAATTATTTTTTGCATAAGAAAAATGCATTTTCAAAGTGCATAGAAAATTAATAATTTGTAACTCGAAAAATATCAATACGAATGAGTTTAATTTTGTTACTCGGGGGGTTTTCGAGGTCGCTAAACACGAATATAATAACGACGATGGTCCCTAAACTACCTGGTGTCCAGAATGGACCTCGTCTTATGGAGTATGTTAATTTTGTTCTACAAATCAGTCGACGGTTATTACTCGGAAGTTTTCGTGGTCATTGGATACGAATATGATAACCACGATGGTCCTCGAGCTACCTGGTGTCCAGAGTGGACCTCTTCTCCTGGAGTTTTAATTTTTAATTTTACCACTACGAATTTTGTCCACAAATTTTACTGATACTTACCAGACTTTCCAGTCTCCTGAATACTATAACTAGGTAACTCCAATTTTGGCTATTTTGAGTTATCCATTCGTATCCACACAATTTTGTCCGCCATTTTTAATACTATAATTAGATAAGTTATCTGAGTATCCATAGCTGAGTTATAATAGTAACATAAACTAGGTAAGTTCGTAAATTTAACGTTTGCCTATATAACGGTTGCCTCTCGAAAAGGCGCCGAGAAACTTCGCGATGTATCGAGTGCGAGAGAGAACATTGCGTCACGTAGGCGAATTAGAGATGGGAATAATCTAGAACATAGTAAGTTTTATATATATATATATATATATATATATATATATTATATATATATATATATATATATATATATATATATATATATATATGGTATATATATATATGTAAAGATATTTGGAGTAAGTTTAGTTGATAAGATAGTACCGAACTGTAAAGTTATAAATAAATATATTTATATAAATTCGAACCGCTTGTTTTATTTATGTATGTATCTCGCTACACTATATTTTATGGCTCTAAAATATTGCTAGGCTCGAATAAAAATCATTGAGCTGTTGCTCATATGATTTAAAAAAATATTTTTTTCTCCCAACAAAAAGTAAAAGTAAAATGATTGGCGATTAGAAATATTTATCTAACCGAAAATTGATAGTATCCGGTATTTTACATAAAGTATTGGTCAAAACGCTTTTGACAATATAAAAAGTTCAAGCAACGACCAGTTCAAAGTCGTGAACTTACCCTGAAAAATGTCATAGTGCTGCCGCCTTCCAGAGTTCCATAAGCGATTTCCGTTTGTTCGGCCAAGTCCTGGGCGCTCTCTATGGGGGTAATCATCCGTTCCACTGTAAGGAAAGCGGCCAAATTCGCCGTGTACGATGATATTATAATGAGGGTGAAAAACCACCAGATACCGCCTACGATGCGGGTCGACGTAGCCTGAAAATAAAATCGTATCATATGATATCTCATTTCCTAGTAAAAGCAGGTCCGAACGAAGCCAATTTGCTGCTCTAACAAGATTACGACGTGAAATTTATGGCATAGTAAATAAACAAATATTAAATTTTGAAAGCTAAAGCGATCTACTATGAATTCAAAGCACATGCACTTAGCTGCAGGATCTCATCGACAAATATTTTTAAAAATGGTTTTTTATATCGCAGAAATTCTACAATAGTGCATAAAAAAGATTTTACAGTAAAACCAATATCTTATACAATAGATAATTCATTAATTTTTTTTAAATATTTTATTTGGTATTTACACAAAATTAGCGAAACAAAAGAGATCAAGAAAAAGATGTCTACTTGTGTTTTATAGATTATGAAAAGGCTTTTGACAAAGTAAAACGCGATCAGCTAATAGAATGCTTGCAAAAAAAGAACCTGAATCCAAACGACATTAATACAATACGTGAACTCTACTGGAACCAAAACGCCTCTGTCAGAATTGAAATGGGTGATACTGAAACCATAAACATCCAAAGAGGAGTTAGACAAGGTTGTACACTATCACCGTTATTATTCAACTTATACTTAGAGGACATCTTTGCACATGCTCTAGATGAAGCACAAGAAGGAATAAAAGTCAATGGAAAAATCGTGAACAATATCAGGTATGCCGATGAAACAGTACTGTTTGCTGGCAGTGAAGAAGAACTATAAATTCTGTTAACCAAAGTAGTGCGAGAAGGAGAACTATACGGCCTTAAGGTGAATGTAAAAAAAAACAAAACAATGGTAATTTCAAAAAATCACACACCAGTTATAAACATACTAGTCAACAACAATCTAGTTGAAACAAGTGAAAAAGCTTAAGTATCTAGGCTGTTGGATACATAAAACCTTAGACCAAGAACAAGAGGTTAAACGTAGAATAGAAGAGGCAAGAAACACCTTCTTGAAGATGCGACAGTAACTCACTACCCGTAATCTTGATTTGTACCTACCATACCACTTGATAATGAGCATTGATGATGAGCAATGTATTAACTACAGGGAAATGCTTGGAGTTTGATCGTGAGCTTCATCAGATGTTCATAGATTTTAAACAAGCATTTGATAGAGTATGTAGGGACAGACTGTGGACAGCGATGCAGGAACTTGGCTTTCCAAAAAAACTAGTCCGGTTGATACGGATGTGTATGCAACGGTTACCATGTAAGGTGAGAGTTGGACAACAATACTCGGAGACATTTAAAATAAACAATGGACTAAAACAGGGAGATGCACTTTTACCACAACTCTTCAACTTAGCTCTGGAGCACATAATCAGAAGTGCAAGAATCGAAAAAACCGAATAAGTATTTCATCGAGAAGGACCAAACTTACTACTGGCATTTGCAGACGATATAGATCTAATAGGAAACACGCGATTAAGGATGAAGGAGACTTTCGTAAGGTTTGAGAAGGAAGCAGAGAAGATGGGGCTCCAAATCTAAGAAAACAAGACGAAATATATGTATATGAGCCGCAATAACCAAAGCAGAGACAGAATCGGTCAGAACATTACCATCGATGACTTTAACTTTGAGCGCGTTAGAGAATTCAAGTATCTTGGAACAACAATAACTGAAGACAATAACGGATCACAAGAAATAAACAACAGGATTCAGGCCGGCAACAGATGTATTTTTGCCCTCCAAAACCTTATAAAATCAAAACAACTAACACGACGTACGAAGATACAGGTCTATAAAACAATCATACGACCCGTTGTGATGTATGGAAGCGAAACGTGGACGATAACAAAGGCAAATGAAGAGAGACTACGTGTTTGGAAAGGAAAAATCCTAAGGAAGATCTTTGGTCCGGTGCTTGAAGAAGCATCAGGACATTATAGGATAAGAACTAATAAAGAGCTCGAAGAACTTTACCCAGAAGCCAACATCATAAAAGAAATAAAGTCCAGAAGACTCCAATGGGCAGGACACCTCAGAAGACATTCTGACGAACGAACAGTAAGACTGGTGTGGGAGGAAGTCCCAACTGGAAGGAGACCACGCGGACGCCCCCGTCTCCGGTGGCGAGATAATATAGCAGGAGACCTAAGCACTATGGACGTGGAGAATTGGATGGAGGTTGCTCAAGACAGAAAACAGTGGAGGCATGTTGTCGAGTCGGCTAGAAGAAGGGTTGTAACGCCACGGAGTAAGTAAGTAAGTAAGTATACCACTTGATAAAGTGTTATGTATATAGTGTACTATTGGAAGCTTGGACGTTAACAGTCAGCTCGTTATGACGTTTAAGAGAGCTTTGAGATGTGGGTATTTCGTCGTAAGCTGAAAATTCCATGGCCAACCGCGTTAGAAATAAAGAAGTTTTAAAGAGTATGAATAGAGAACGTGAACTCACAGACATTGTCAAAAAGCGTAAAACGTCTTATCTTGGACACATATTTAGACACGAGAGGTATAACTTCCTTCAGCGTATTATAGAAGGGAAAATAGAATGCAGGGGCGGCCCGGGTACACGACAAATGACCTGGCTGCGCAACATGAAAATATTGGACAGGATTAGACTTTCAAAGTTTAATAAGAAAAGCCCAAAATAGGTAATACTTTGCGGAGGTCATCACCAACCTTCGCTAAGAAGACGGCACCAAAAGAAGAAGAAGAAGTAAATTTAAGCCGATACCTCTGTAAGAAAGAGGTAGCGATATCGTTTCAAATTTGGCCAATTCCATTTTTTTATTGTTTTGGTTCAATTTGCTTTGATTTGTTAGTTATTAAAAAAAAACAAACTCTACTGGTATTTCTCGGCATATTTAAAACATCTATCACAATGGTTTCAGTCAAAGATGCCTAAGTTTTATAAAAGGCAAAGAGGATCCATCCATGCCGCAGCGGCGGCTCGTGGCCTAAAAAAGTGGTGAAGATGAGGAAACTTTGCAGGAGCCAAAAGGAATTTTGGTACCTACGTCGCGCCCAAATCTTATTAAAAATTCGTTAAAAAGAATGTATAGAGTTTAGGGCCCTAATAACTTGATAACAGTTTTTTGGGGCACTTATACTATAGGCTATTCCACGAATATACGACTGTTTTGGTTTACTGCGACAACGAATATTTTACTATGCAAGTAGAAGTATGAAGGTCAATTGGTCTAATCTTTATTCCAATAAAAAGGGTCTATTAGTATGACATCTAAACTAAAATTATTTCAGTTAAAATCTACAAATAGATACAATGACTTCTATGAAGCCAAATGTGTTCATCAGACATTTGGGTAAGCTTTCCGTGAAATGTAAACACCAAAGAGGCGTGCCAGGTTTCTTTGATATAACACATTTTATTACAGTATTAGGTATTATAACTGTAATAAAAAGAAATATACTATTTTTAATATAAATGAAAAGAAATTGGCAGAACGATGGTTCACAAACCAGAAAAAGGATCTAATATTTCACTTTGTTAGTGTTAAATATTTGTTTGCTTTGAGTGAATAAGTAAGATTTTTTGTTTTTTTAATATTAATTGAATATTCGACTGAAAAATTTACACTATTTGATCACTTAAGTATTGTTACATTTCGTTTAAATCACATAATTCAAAAACCAACTTTCTTACAATGAAATAATTGAAATGAAAAAATAAACTAAATGATAGTAATTATATACTTCAAAATCTGAATTACAACTGTTTTATAAACTATTAACTTTATATTTATATCATGACTTCATATTTAAATTTAAGGTTTATATCTGTCGTAACAGTATTTTAAAAATGGGGAGAATTTACTATTGTACAATTCAGTACATTGGACCATTTAAATCGACACCTTAAAGTGAATTTAAAACAGTCGTATATTCGTGGAATGGAATATATATACCATTCGTTCTGCTTGCCTGGGGTATTTTAGTTCTGAACCTTGACATTTTATTGAGGATTTTTTAGCGATTAGAATACCACGCCTGGTAAAACCGATTTGTTGAGTTTCGATTCAGCCGCCCACTCTGGGTCCGATGCTAGTTGCAGCCGATCACTATGGATCAGACGCTGCAGTGTTTACTGGTTTTGGTCCGCCCCGAGTATTTAATTTTCCCTAGTACCACCTATATATATATATATATATATATTATATATATATATATATATATATAATATATATATATATATCCGGTTTTTTTAGGCGTTACGCCCGTCCGGTAGGGATCTATGGAGGAGTATCACCGAGCCGCAAGCCCTTATCTCTTGCCGTACTGCTCCACCATAGGCCGATCAGATCCCAGCATATCCTAGTCTAAGCCGCAGATTCATCTAGAATTTTAAACTGCTGCGTTAGACTTTTTGTTTTCCGTACACCGAGCTGGGGCTCGACCCACATCCACTAAACCATTCGACAGTGAAGCGAATGAGAGGCAGCCGCACAGCCCGCTGAGCTATCTGACCGACGTACCACCTATATCTAGGATAAAAAATATCGCTAAAAACTGTTGCTAAAAATGTGAACTCAAAATCATTTAAATCTCGTAAAAACCCTTTAGCCAGCTGAACTAATTCGTAATCTGACTCTTCAGAATTCATTATATAATCAAAAACCTCTTTTAATTTTTCCCAGTCTTCAATAATTACACTGATTAATTTTGAATTAGACGACCAGCTTGTCTCTGTAATTGTTGGCATACGTCTAGGCATACGATGTATATACAAGAGTGTACCATCGTTTTGATGAACTATGAAAAAACGATAGGATTCCGGTAATAGTTGCAAAAAAAAAATCGATGGGCTAGACAATGCACAGGCTCCTCCGACCAAATTTTACAAACAATTTCTCGCATCACCTTCGTGAGCTACTCTCCACCGTGTTTAAACACTCTCCACAATGAGTAGCGAACCTAATGCTAAAAGGAAGGTCAAAGAAACACAGCAAAGGGACTACCAAAGGGAATACCAAAACCAAGCAATCTAGGAAATGAAAAGCGTGTACCACTGACACCGAATCCAGATTATCGCTGGATATCCACTTGCAAGATGATGATGATGATGATGTGAACAATAAAGATTGTTGTTGTGTAGGGTTGTAGTAAACTGTACAGGTACACTAAAAAAAGTGGATATTGTTACGATAACTATTGCGTTTAAAACTACAAATATTATGACTAATTCTGTTTTTGTTCCAGTCAATTCGAAGTTGTTTACAGAAACCTATAGACCCCAATTTTGATGAGTCATCCACGACTCGAGCAGTAAAAAAAAACTAGTTTTAACCGTTGGTCGCCTTCACCAAAATACGAGATTATTCGATGGAGTTCCATTATAATGTAGAAGGTCGCCGAACTTTCGAGATAACAACAGTTTTGTATATAAACGAAAGATTTTTTATTTGGTCAGTCAGTCATAAGAAGATCGGGAAACGCGATTTAATTGTAACGAAACGTAACATAAATACTTGTAAAGTTAATTAATAAATTAGTAATCAGTTATCGTGAGTTTTAATAAATTAGAATATAGACAATAAATTAGAATAAAGACAAATAAATTAGAACAATATAAATATACTACAATATGATCAAATGTGTTAGCTGCCAACTTTGGCTGCACGAAGAATGTTTAACTATAAATGCACGTATATGGTAAAAGGCAGGAAGAGTAAGTTCACAATTTTACCTCAAGTGGCTTCGCCATTTCACCCTTATGCATGAATGAACCAGCTTATTTAATAAAAATAAATACTGGTTTTTTTTAAACATTTGTAATGTCTTAACGAAATTATGACACTGTTAAGGTGTTGCCAATAGGTTTTGTACAAGAAGTGTATTTTTACTTTTATTTATCATATCATCCTGATTTATCCTAATGTTGTGTATTTTTTCGGACTATTGCCAGGTTTTCCAGAGCTATTGCCAGGTTTTTGTACGTATGACAGAAGTATGTAAAGAATACACACGCGTACAACCCAGCCCAGAGGGACATGCGTGCTCCATTGGAAAAGTGGAAACCACATGTCCGAAAATTAAACCTGTAATACTCTGAGTACCTTTCTGACCCACAAGATATGTCAACACCCCTTCCCATCGCAGAACATAATTAATAGGGAGGCTTATGTATTGAACATTACCTTAGATGCCTTATGTAATGGAATATCCTCTTTAATTTTGTGTGCCTTTCAGACCTAGAACAGCTTTTCTTCCTATGATTTACTGAATTTACATTTAGTACATGATTTTGGAACTTACGTCCTCAATATGGAGGCCATACACCTTAATGTTTGCATTATGCTTTTAACCAAACATGCATAACCGACAGATATAACCAAGTTCCACATTATACATACAAGCTAGTATTTGAATGCACAGTTTTGCCATTAACTCTTCTATCAAGCTATGTGACGGTGTGTGCAGGACGCCTATGGTACTTTGTGCAGTATACATCTACCAAACTACAATGGACGATAACTATGTGATAGCTGTACTTGCCTTAACACTTATTCTCTTCTTCATAAAAAAAAAGAAAGATCGCTCTGAACGATCTAAATGCTAGTTATTAAAAAGAAATCATGTCTCTCACGTAAATTTGATAGAGGAATTTAGATTTAAACTAACAGATTACAAAAATTATTTACGAATGGATGACAAACTTTAATTGAAACTATTATCATTGATTACTCCGTTAATACAAAGACAAGACACTATTTTGAGGAAAGCAATATCAGTACATAAGAGACTAGCAGTAAAATTAGGATTTCTTGCAACAGGAAGAACATACGAGTGTCTTAAATATATTGCTATTATATCACCTCAGGCTTTGGGCTGAATAATATCTGGAACATGTGATGCTATGAGAACTATGACAGGCAAGCTCGCCGGACGCCACACACTCTAGGGTGTGCTCGCAGGCAAGCAAAACCGAGCGACATAAAATATTTATGATTTTTTATTTTTGCTCAGTTGCATGTACATGCACCGATAATTGTACAGTTTTATCACATACACGCTAGGGCTTGCCTGTCGGTTGTGCATGCAAGATTATAACCATCATGCAAACTCTAACGGGTATATTCTCTATCTCAGTCGCCGAGTTGAAAAAATAAATTTTGTTCTCTTCAGAAGCTTAGCACCCAAAAGGGCTGGCCATCGAGTTCACGCTTGTTGTACGTGACCTCAATGCTCAGCTATCGTTACTTTCCTACCTTAAAGGTATTACGCCTGATGGACAGTTTGTCTAAGAACCGATTGCCTGACGGATGTCTGATAGGCATCTTGAGTATGTATGCAACTAGAAGGCAAAAGAAAGGCAACCAAACCTGACACAGGACGTCCTGTTTTTAGTGCAAGTGCAAGTAAAGACGTAAAACACAGTATAAGATGGCAAAAGGTAAGCAGGAATAAAAAAGCAAAGAGAAAAGGATTAGGTAGAACCCGGTAAAAACTTTGGAAGGCCGGAAGGATAGGTTACGGATTACATACTTCTTATAGGAGCGAGGTATATTTTAATCTATTTATATGTTAAATATAAAAAAATATAATTTATTTTTACACGTTCTGTTATAAAACACAAAAAAAATTACCTCTTTTATCATTTCTCATTGTTTATTTATTTCTTTACTACAATTATTTCTTTCAATTAAACCTTTGTCGAAAAATATATTACTATATTGATTATAAAACAAAGAAAAAGTCCTGACCTCTCTAATAGCATTGTGGTAAGTTATGAACTACCTCCCGCTTTATCAGTTAATTAAATGTAATAAACGTAAGTCCTCCCAACTCTCAGCGACTAAAAGTAAAATGGAAAAATTAAATTTAAAAATACCGAGGTTCTTTATATTAGATGGTGATTTTTTTATATCTAGATCCTGTGTTTAATTTAGCTTTTTATAGAAATTAGTTTATCTGGATTTCAGTTAGAAGTAGTGTCCGGATTTCTAAGCATAATGTTTATGGTAAATAATAAAAGCAGGAATATTTTCTTTTTAAATTTGACGAAAAATACAAAAACAACTCATTTGCCACCACTTTTTTATGCTTTCTTTAAAGATAGATTAATATTATTTTCTGATCATTTTTGCATTATATGTAATTTTTCATATAAGTCTATTCTTCATAACATAGTCTATAAAAGCCTGTCAAAAATTATAAATTATATTGACATTTTTTCTAATCTTTATTTTCGCTTATATTTTCGCTCATATCTATTCCCTAGGGTGGGTCAAAAATCAATAATGTTTCATTTTTTAATCGCTATACGGCGGAAAACTTTCTTTTGGGATATATAAGTAAAATGTAAAGTAAAATAAAGTTATATATTGAACCCTTAGCTAGCGTATCATACTTAAAATTTAGAATTTTTTTCAGAAGTCAAGACATTTTTCAAATATTTTTTCTATCTTAAGCCAATAATATTTGAAACGTGCTATAGTAAAAATTATTTAGTTAATAGTTTAAAAAATAAGAAATACATTTAAAACAGACAATATTTTTTAATTTGCAGCAGCGCAAGATGCTCCAAAAATAGTAAAATTCACATATTTGCACCTTAAAAGAAGGTGTGGTCTAGTATGTTGTGTTGGGTGTTATATTGACGTTGTGTTTCGTATGGGTGGCGACAGTGATGATCTTGAGTTCGACACATTTCCCATACTATTCCTACTACCTACCTTCTTACAACACCGCCAACAATGCATTGCCAGTTCGTGCTCTGATATACAGTACAGTGGCTGTGTTGTATTGATTTTCCAGAAGTGAGTATCGCCGTGTTTTGACGTAGTTAACTAAGTAAATATTGCATCAAGTTATGTCTGTTTCAAAGAAGTTAACTCGAAGTGAGTTTCAGTGTCCACTATTCGGTCCTCCGAAAGACTGGCCTGTGAATAAGCTTTCGATGTACGACGATATTCTTCGCTGCTCAAATGAACAATATAACATCGCCGTAGAGACAAATAAGCCTATAAGTTTAAGTCAAGTTGCAAATATTGTGGCTCTTTAAGTGAAAGCTTTGTATGGTAAAGCTTCCATACGCAACTAATATGTTCTTACTATGACACTTATAGTAGGTTGAAAAAAATTGTTTAAACGTAATACAGAAAAAGAACCTTTTCAGAAAAAGGTTGCAGAATTTAAGACAAATTTACTTTTCCTGTTTGCCACATGTAAGTTCGAAATGACATACACCTGCAGCTGTCAAAAGGTTCCTGCTGAGGCATGTGCATGTGAATCCCCTATCTTAATTTTTTGTGGCTGTGAAAAATCAAAGAAAATCGCGACACTTGAATTGAAATTCATGTATTTTTAAAGACAGTTCAGACAAGGCAAAATCGGAGGTGTTGATGCTAAAGAAACAAAGAAAATTATTAAAAGACATGAAAGAAAATTGAATGAAGTATAACAAATTTACAGTTGACATCCCAGCCCTCAAATAGTATCTATTATCAGTTTGACATAATTTGGTACTGTTTGTAATTTCAGAAGTGTGTTTGTGTGTTTCTAATTTCAAAAGGTGACTTTGTCACAAAAGTTAATCACCCTATACCTGTTGCTTTAATAAATTATTTAACTTCTTATCAAAAGCCTCCGGCTCATATCAATAGTTTTATATTAAATTATGAGCTTTTAGTAAAAATCGAACATAACCTATATTTTCTCCGCAAGTAAAATACCGACGTAACGTCAGACAAATAATTTTCATAATTATGTTCGCTCAGGAAAATATTTTTCGATTGTTAACTATTTTCTAGAACTCAAATTATCCCACATGCACTAGCCTCAGAACAGTGACAGTATACTAGTGTGATTACAGAAATTCAACCATTATAGTATGAGCCCTATTGGTACTAGAATTGCTAGTCACAACCACAAGTCACAATATCCATAATGTCATGTATTTTACTTGATTATTACTTAGCAATTGGATCCTGTTAGAGTTTTGTTTTACTCAACGCTTTAGCTAGAAATATATTAATGTTTGCACGCTCTGACCAAAGTATGTGGCGATGTTTATTTATTATATAACAAAACCAGTGGGTAAATATCTAAAAACCCTCAAGCAGAAAATACGTTTTGGACGAGCACAAAAAACAACTCTATTGAAAATAACTAGCGTTTGATAGCGATAAATGTACCCCTACGGATAATACCTTTGGATTAAGGTCGGACCCTTGTTGCATTAAGGACCCTATCGCGAACCAAAAACTGTTTCCCAAAGTAAAGCCGTTTTCTAAAACATCTAGACTCTTGTCGCATTCTTCCAGCGAACACTTATGCTCCACATCATGGTCGTGTTCACACATCAGATCAATGTCCTCCAGTTCGACGCGTTTCTGAACCTTTTCCGGAGAAATCTGTTACTGGGCCAAATTACAAGGTTACAATATTATTTGGATTTTATACACTCTTTGTGATAGAAAAGGAATAAAATTAAAATTAATAAAAAAATATTATTGCGATAAAAATGAATACATAATATTAATACAGTTATTTAAAAAATAGTAATAATTAAAATATGTATGAACAGGGTGTCTCCGAAAATAGCACGTTCCTTTAATGTATGAATAAAATACACAATTTAGAACAAAAAACATGTAAAAAAAATGTTTTCCATATACGTGAATTTTTATTTTCAGAAAATTAAAGAATCTGGCAACGTCGCACGAAGTGAAAAGCGCTTCTAAATGAAAACTCGCTTGTGACTTTGTATTTGTGTTA